ATTATTATATATTTAATATATTATTAATTTAAATATTATTACATGTTTTTAAAAATTAAACCACTAAACGTAATTCAGTTTCTTTTAAAATTGAAATTAATTTTTGAATAAAACTACCAAACGTATTTTAAAAATAATTCTAAAATAAAAATAAAAATATTTTTATTTCTATTTTCATACCCAAAACAAAATTATTTTAAAAACAATTTCAAACCCACCGATAATCCTCTGTTTTTCACTACACTCTATTATCATTCACTTGCCTACCAGATGTTCGACAAAAGGTGGCAATGGCGAACGAGGTGATTCTTCTCGATTTCCCGGTCAGCATGTTCGCGGCGCGGATCAGAATAGGCCTGGCCGAAAAGGGTACCGACTACGAGAGGATAGAAGAGCATCCGTGGAACAAGGGCCCACTTCTTCTTCATATGAATCCCATTCACAAGAAAATCCCAGTTTTCATTCACAATGGAAAACCCATTCCTGAATCTCTCATAATTCTTGAGTACATCGACGAGGTTTGGAATGACGACAAAGCTCCATTGCTGCTTCCTTCTGATCCTTACCAGAAAGCCCAAGCGAGGTTCTGGGCTGATTTTATTGACAAAAAGGTAAATTCCTTTTGTTCTAGCTTTTCATAATTATTAATTTTTTTTTTCAAATGTTTTTTTTTTTTTAATATACCATTTTGTCCGTTTTGATTGGTGTTTCTTATTTTACTATATATATAAAAAAGATAGATCAGCTAGCAGGAGTCAGGAGGCGTTTACCCTTCTCGCTTCTTTTTTTTTTTTAAACAACCGGTGTTTTTTGTCTTTCTTCTTTATTTTTTTTTTTCTTTCATTTGTTTTCATTTGTTTTTAAAATTTCCTTTTGTGTCTACTTTTTCAGCATCGTTAATTTATTTATTTGAGTAAATTGTCCAGTTACACTTCAAGTTGTTTCTTTTCTCTTTTTGTATTTTTTTAAATAATGGATCCCGAATCTTCATTTTTGGCAAAATGCACTATGAACATGAGATTCATACATGAAGAATAATGATTATTATTTTCAAACCATGTCAACTGTTAATTTGATAACGTTTATTTGCTATTAAATCTCAAATGTGATGTTGTATTGTTAGTATGCTAATGCTAAAACGAGCACTGTTTAAACAAATTATTTTTTAACATATCTAGAGATTATTTAATAACATCTCACATGTGATGCTAAATAAGTATGTTAATACTAACTTTTAGCTTTTGATTATTATTAGTGGATGTGTTTATTTGTTTATTAATCATTACAATATTTATATTTTTCAAATAAACTATGTACTTTTATGAATCAGTTTTTTTTTTTTTTTGGGATCACAAATATACTATGTATTTTTTTGTGGAGAGACTCTTTAATATTGGAATTCATTCCTATTCGTTTAAAAAAAGTATGGACTCTTTAGTGTTGGAATTCATCCCTATTCCTTTGAAAAAAGTAGGGCATAATAACTTTTATAAATGAATAAAATTTTCTTTTAAAGGGGTTGCCTTAGGAGTATTATTTTTTTAAATATTTTCGTCCGTAAAAGTAATTTAATTAATGGATAATTCAGTAATAAGAAATTGTATTAAAAAGAAGTGTTTGAAAAAATAATGAGACTATTAATAGATGCACTAAAAAAAATTTAGTTCACTAGTCCTTGTAAGAACACGTAAATATTGTATTCAATATATACTTCTATCTTAAAATTAGTTTAGTATCAGTAAATAAGATGTAACAAACTTATTTAATGAGTTTTGACGTTTTTTTTTTTTTTTTTTCAAAACGAAATGAGAAAAAAAATGAAATGAGAAAAAAAACTAAAAAAACTTTAAAGTTTTAACCTCAACAATATGGAAAACACTATTGGAACTGTTTTTTTTATGTTTTTTATTTTTATTTTTTATAATATTGGAAAGTTTTTAACTTATTTTTAAGGATAGTTTAGTCATTTTAGATATTAAAATGAATAATTAAACGAGATATTTGTATATTAAATCAAATTTAAATTTAAAAGTATATATCGGATAAGATTTAAAACTGAATAAACTTGATGCATATATGTCCTTTTGAACAAATCCACTTTAAGACATTTTTTTTTAAAAATTTTATGGCGGTTTACTTGCATGCATCTTTTCAAACCAAATTAAACAAATTAGAGAAAAAGAAAAAAAAAACAAAAACAAATTTGATGCGTTGAATATGTTGGGGGTAGCGCAGATGTTCGACGCAGGGACGAAGGTAATTTGGAAAGTGAAAGGAGAAGAGCATGGGGCAGGGAAGAAGGAACTCTTGGACAGCTTGAAACTGTTGGAAGCAGAGCTTGGAAACAAGCCGTACTTCGGGGGAGACAGCTTCGGGTTTCTGGACATCGCGCTCGTTGGATTCTACCCCTGGTTCCGTGTTTTAGAGACATGCGCCGGCTTCAGCATCGGCGCAGAGTGCCCCAAGCTCATCGCGTGGGCCAAGACGTGCCTGCAGAAGGAGAGCGTCTCCAAGTCTCTTGCTGATGAGAAGGAGATCGACGAATACGTTGCGGAAATGAGGAAGAAGATCGGAATTGAATAAAACAAGAGAATGGGAAGGACAACTACTCTACTGCTTGTGTTAAGGTCTAGTGAGTTTCAGCTTCAAGTTTTCTTGTTTTCTCAACCATTGATCATCTAATAATTATCTTATTTTACTTCAGCTTAATTTATGTCTAGTGCGTATTTTATCTGCATTTCTCGGACAGTTGGTCAACTTTGACCATTCTTGACTAACTTTTTGATAATGACGGTTTGATCGACTCTTGGTCAACAAACTTTGACTTGGTCCACTTAAATTAGTCAAAACTCTAATTTTCTCAGTTCGACCTTCTAGACCCATTTTTCGTCCGTTTTTTGTTCTAATTATTTCTAAAACCCTAGAATTGATGTTTTCAATTCTTTTTCATTTTTTAACCTTAAGATTCATGTGTTGGCCCACTTATGAGTTTAACACAGCGCATCCTGTCTTATTGCAATCTGAAAGTCAGTAACAGTATCTTACCTAACTTAAATTTTTAATTACTTACTTGATGTCATCTTGCTTAACGCATGTCAGTACTCTTCTGCTTGTGTTAAGGTCTAGTGAGTTTCTGCTTCAAGTTTTCTTGTTTTCTCTTTTGTTCTTTAGTGTTGAGAGTCATCACCGACTCATGAGAATTGTCAAGAAAGCTCTTCGATTGCTCTAGAAAGCTTATCCAAGTTGCTGCGCATTTTTTCTACAAGTCTTATACGAACGGAAGCGTCAAGAAGCAAATCAACTTGTGATTTGAGAAGCTTCTGAAGCCACTAAATAACCGACATAGTGAGACTATACATAGAGACCATGTCTCTCGGTGGAGGTGCGTCCGAAAAAAGAAGTGAGTGGTATGTGTGCTGAGTAATTCTGTGAGGTGTGTGCTATTAATTATAGTACCTTAAATTCATTTTTGGTAACTTAAATTCATTTTTCTTATTTTATTATGTATTGAAGGAAAAACATAACAATTTATTTTTATATTTTATAGAATGTTGATGATAATTCTCCAGGAAGCATTCATATTGGAATGAGAAGAATGGTTGGGCAGGTGAAGTGGCAGAGATACAATATGTAAGTATTGTTTTTCTTTAACATGGAAGTGTTACAAATTAAAAGTGATTTTGTTTGTAAGAGAACGAGAGCATCATCCTCAACTATTCAGCCCGATTCAGAACTTCAGAAACTTAAAAAACAGGTGGCAGAAACTTTTAGCTGAGACACAACAACAAATGACAGCACAACACGATGAACATCAAAGAGCTCCAGCTGCACTTAACGCCAACCAAAGAAAGGTGATAGAAAAGATTGTTGCTGAGTACACCCACCAAAAGTCGGCCACCTCTATCTGATTAGCCTATTTTAATGACTAGTTTAGTATTATTATTAAAGACAATATTATTTTATGTCAAGTTACATTATTCATGTTTTTATGCTTTTGACGTTTTGCTAGTTAAAATTAACGGAAAGTTGTGCGGTTGTCTTTACTTTTTAATTTGTTGGCTGACACGGTGATGGTAGTACTATTTCTTATGTGATATTGCACTTTATGTTTAATTTAATGATAATGTTTAACTTATATATTTTTATGTGATATTCTGATTGTTTCTATTAATCTTACAAAAACGAAGATAAATTAACAATATTCCAATACTCTTAAAAAATAAATCAATAGAATAATATCATATGAAAAAAGTCTTTTTTTTTCCCTTGTGTTTCTGTGTTTGGTGCCTTTGTTTACTTGTTCATTTCTGTGAGTACAAATTTATGTATTCGTTTGTTAATTGTACGCCAGTGGTTGATCACTAATGTTTTTAGTTGATTGTTTACTTATTTATTTTTTTTTTTTTGTCACTTCTTCATTTGTGTGGGATTTTTGGCTTATTTTTATAATCTGCTCATCTATTTGTTAAGCAAGTTCTCAAAACTTCAGTATTAAATTAATTAAGAAGGAAGTGAGGTGTAATATGGACAGGTTGTTTAGTATTTTTGTTTTAACGAAAAAATTGATTATGGAAAAAAAAGATTTACTTTTGATTATTATTGATTAATTTAGATGTATGAACCTTTTTATGAAATGAATTGTATTTTTAATAAAAGTAGTGGGAAAGGGTATTTACTCTTGTTGAAAAAGTTCAGCCCTACCATATTCTTTCCCAACCAAATAACAACCTAATTCAATTTTCTTCCTTCTCAGAACTTTTTTCTTCCTTCTCAGTTTTGACTTGAGAAAAAGAGATAGAAGCTAAACGTCATCCATGACAAAGTGACATAGACTAATAAAGGTTATGAAGCAAATTGGAGTATTCTTAATTACTTTATAAAGAAAACTTTTATGGCAGAAATTGTTATTTTACCCGGTTAATATGAATTGTTAATTATTTAATTAATTTCTAGTCCAATACTCATGCACATTAAAAATTTATATAACGCAACATAAAATTACTTCTACTCATAAATTAAATTAAAATATACGTACTTAAAATTAATTGCTAGATCACCTGAAAAAATATACGTACTTAAAATTAAATTAAAATATACGTACTTTATATTCAGAGATAAGCCACGAACACAAACTTCTTCAATTTCCAAAATGGACCCATTCAATTTCTCTAATTTACACTTAGCACTAACAACTCCAGATGTAATTTCTTCACCTTTCCCCTTTAAAAAAATGGAGAATCAAAACGTCTGCAATGACATCACTGTCAGACCAAATGAAAGAAATTCCACGAAAACTCTGCAAAAATCACCGAACACATTGATTATAATTGTCCATTATCTATAAATAGAACATGATAATCATCCTTTCTCTCCATAACTTTTACGCATTCTCGTTTCATTCACTTACACACGAGGTATTCGACAGAAGTTCTCAATGGCAAACGAGGTGATTCTTCTCGATTTCTGGCTCAGCATGTTCGGCATGAGGGTCAGAGTAGCCTTGGCCGAAAAGGGTATCAAGTACGAGTACAAAGAAGAGAATCTGAGCAACAAAAGCCCACTTCTTCTTCAGATGAATCCGATTCACAAGAAAATCCCAGTTCTTATTCACAACGGAAAACCCATTTCTGAATCTCTAACAATTGTTCAGTACATTGATGAGGTTTGGAATGACAAAGCTCCATTGCTTCCTTCAGATCCTTACCAGAGAGCCCAAGCCAGATTCTGGGCTGATTTCATTGATAAGAAGGTATTTATTATTGTTTTTCAATATATTTTCATTTCAGGGTCAACTTAAGGGATAACATCAATATAACCAAGCCTCCGTTCTAGCTTTTTGGATCGCCATTATTTTCATTTCGTTTTGATGTCTTGTAAAGAGGGAATTTTGTTGGGATTACTTCTGTAGTATTCTTTTGACTTTTGAATCTGTTTTCTGTCATGGGAGTATTGACTCACTACGAACAGAGTTTTTTTTTTTTGGTTTAAGAACTTAATAATCACTTGTTATTTTCAAACAACAGTTAGGCTAATGCATCAAATACGTTGAGCTAGCGCAGGTGTACGACGCATGGAGGAAGGTTTGGACAACGAAGGGAGAAGAGAAAGAGGCGGGCAAGAAGGAATTCTTGGACGCCTTGAAGCTGTTGGAGACAGAGCTTGGAGATAAGCCGTACTTCGGGGGAGACAGCTTGGGGTTTCTGGACATTGCGCTTGTGGGATTCTACCCCTGGTTCTACGCGCTTGAGACATTCGGCAACTTCAGCGTTGAGGCAGAATGCCCCAAGCTCATAGAATGGGCCAAGAGTTGTAAGGAGAAGGAGAGTGTCTCCAAGTCTCTTGCTGATGAGAAGAAGGTCTATGAATTTGCTACGGAAAGGAGGAAGAAGATCGGAATCGAATAGAGGAAGAAAAAGGGGAAGACAATACTAGTGCTTGTGTAAGGTCTATTACTGAGGTTCAGCTGCTATCTTTTCTTTTCTTTTTTTTTTTATTACTTTTGTTGCTTTGTTGTTTTAAGTTGGGACTTTACTCTGTCTTTTATGAATGCCATGTGAATGGAGGTATGTTTTATGGTGCTAAGAAATGATAATAATAAAAAAGCTCTTCTTTGGCTATTTGTATAAAGCTGTAGTAGTGTTTGAATGGTTGTTGAAAAGAGAAAAAAAAAAAAAAAATTATCGCAGAAAGAAGTCTACTATGATGTCAAATCCAAATTTGCATACACATGTGGGTAAAAAATAGGTTTAACGTGGAATTCATCACGGGACTTGTTGAATTACAATTCTTTGAGGGGTAATCATTACTGCGTTGTTTATTGCCTCGTTAATTTCGCTGATTTGAGTTTAGAATTTGAGTTGAGATGTGACTTTATGTGAGAGTTTTTTACTGTAGTAAAAAAGTTAGATGTGATTGTTTGTGAGAGTTTTTTACTGTAGAAAAACTCAAATTCTAAACTCGAATCAGCGAAGTGAACGAGGCCATATTTTTTCTTGGTTCGAAAAAACAAATATAATTTTTGTAAGAAAAAATATTACAGTAAAAACATAAGATATCGTTTGAAAAAAGGAAATAAACGGGACTGTAATATGAAAATCAACCAGAAATTATGGCCGTTGACGCATAGTTAATAGTTCATAGTAAAAAAAAAATATAAAAATACTTCATAGATGGACCAAAATAACCATTGCAAGATATTACTTATAACGATTATGTTAGATTGACTGTAGTATAACTAATTTTAACATATATTTTCTGATACTCCTAAAATTTGAAAGACTTTTTTCAACTTCAGAAACTTAAAAATAGGTGGCAGAAACTTTTAGCTGAGACACAACAACAAATGACAGCACAACACGATGAACATCAAAGAGCTCCAGCTGCACTTAACGCCAACCAAAGAAAGATGATAGAAAAGATTGTTGCTGAGTACACCCACCAAAAGTCAGCCACCTCTATCTGATTAGCCTATTTTCATGACTAGTTTAGTATTAATATTAAAGACAATATTATTTTATGTCAAGTTACATTATTAATGTTTTTATGCTTTTGACGTTTGCTAGTTAAACTTAACGGAAAGTTGTGCGGTTGTTTTTACTTTTTAATTTGTTGGCTGACATGGTGATGGTAGTACTATTTCTTATGTGATATTGCACTTTATGTTTAATTTAATGATAATGTTTAACTTATATTTTTATGTGATATTCTGATTGGTGCCTTTGTTTATTTGTTCCAACATTTCCATTAGCATGTGTATATGCTACACACATATAAAAGATGATAGAAGCTTTGTGTAACATGTTGGTAAGTAAATTTCTTTTATTTACGACAGTACTAACTCCCATATTATCATGCTTAAGTACTATCTGTAGACTGTAGAGTTGACTTCTTACAAATTTCCATTAGCATGTGTATATTGACTTGAACTATTATAAATATTTTAAGTTGAAGTTTTCCAGGATTGCAATTCCAATACGAGCACTTTCCGTATACGATTGACTTACACTCAAGCTGAATCATCAAAAATGGTTCAGACTTTTGTAGAGAGAAAGCAGGGCTGTAAAAGAAGAAAAGCAGGCATGATGAATCTAATCATACACTATTTTATTTGGACACAGGCCCAATATCCAGGGCCCAAGCCGACGAACCGAGTAACCCGAACCTACCTGAGGTCATCCGATAGGTTACGAGTTTGTGGACTTTGTCTCAACCCGCACCGCGCGGCTCGACCCAATTTTTCGGCCCAACCCTAACCTATCCTGCCGAATTACACCCCTAATTATATGTTCTTCTTCTTTTTTTACTTTTTTAAATAAGACCCTAATAAATAGATTTTTCATTCTTACTAACAAACTCTCGCAGGCGTGCGTGAAGTTTCAACTAGAATAATATCATTTGAAAAAAGTCTTTTTTTTTTCCCCTTGTGTTTCTGTGTTTGGTGCCTTTGTTTATTTGTTCATTTCTGTGAGTACAAATTTATGTATTCGTTTGTTAATTGTCCGCCAGTGGTTGATCACTAATGTTTTTAGTTGATTGTTTACTTATTGTTTTTTTTTTGTCACTTCTTCATTTTTGTGGGATTTTTGGCTTATTTTTATAATCTACTCATCTATTTGTTAAGCAAGTTCTCAAAAATTCAGTATTAAATTAATTAAGAAGGAAGTGAGGTGTAATATGGACAGGTTGTTTAATATTTTTGTCTCGACGGAAAAATTGATTATGGAAAAAAAATGATTTACTTTTTATTATTATTAATTAATTTAGATGTATGAACCTTTTTATGAAATGAATTGTATTTTTAATAAAAATAGTGGGAAAGGGTATTTACTCTTTTGTTTATAACTTAATACCAAAATGTTAACTTTTCCATCCAAAATTTAACAAAATATTAACTGAGGGACTAAATTTTCAGTACAAGAACTAACGGTAAAAAGAGAAAAAAGATTAGGGACTTTTGACGAATTTAACTCCTAAAAAATAGTTATAAAAATATTTTAGAGACAAAAAAAATGTCTCTAAAATTAAATAATTTTATATAAATTAAGTATAGAGACGAAATGATTTTGTCTCTGAAAACACTTTTTAGCTTCAAAAAGATTTTGAGTGCGTTTGGAACTCGTTTCAAAATGATTTTGTTTTCTGTATGAAAATAGAAATGAAAACGTTTTCATTTTTGTTTTTAAATCATTTCTGAAAATGCGTTTGATGGTTTAATTTTTAAAAATATGTAATAATATTTAAAATAATAATATATTAAACAAATAATAGTTAAATTCCAAATAAAAATACTAATAATTAATATAATAATTTAATTATCATCAACATTAATAATTAAAAAAACTTTACTAAATACAACAAAAATCCGTAAAAAAATTTTCCTCAGTCATTGGTCTTCCTTTTACGCCTCCATCATTTCCCTTCTCACTCAATCAAACCCCATTTCAAGTAACTTAACCTTATAACCCAACCGCCTGTGCAATATTCTCTCTCATCTCTCTCTCCATCAAATTTCACTAGAAAGCAAGAAAACAACAACAAAATCCCACCTCCCATGGCTTCCAAACACTGATCAATCAATCAAACAAACAAAACCCCCCATAAAACCACTTTCCAAAACCCACCCTCTTTCTTTGGCTGCTTTTCTTCTTCTTCTTATTATTATTATCTTCTTCTTCTTCTTCTTCTTCTAATGGAGTACTCCAACTACTCCTACCCGGACTCCCACAGAGCAGATCGGGAGAAGAGGGTCTGACGAGCTACGTCAACATTGGTGAAGGGCAGAAAACGGAGAAGAGAGAAAATGGATATGAGAAAATGAAAACGAGTTTAATTCGTTTTCAGAAATGTAATAGTTTTTGGGAAAAATCCAAAAATGTTTTTGTTTTCAATTTTGGTAAAGTGTTGCACTAAACACACTCTTTCTTCCGGTTTAAATTTTTTATTCTCAAAAAATGTAAAAAATGAAAACAAAAATGGAAACAAACAGGCCAAAATTGTTTCTAAATGTATATGCATTAGAGACAAAACCGTTTGTCTCTAAAACATGATACTCTGGTCTAACTCCAATGACTAATTTTCGTCTAAAATATTGCCTTTTGAGGCGAAAATTCATCACTATGGAGACAAATATTTTAGTCCCTAAAAAAAGATTTTTAGAGGTGAATTTAAAATTAGTCTCAAATACTTTCAAATACCACTTTTTAGAGACGAATTATGACGAAATAAATTTTTTTATCTCTAAAAGATTCAAAGAAAAATTTAGGCATTTTCAGAGACAAAAAAAAAAAATCACCTCTGAAAGTGTTTTTTCTTGTAGTGACTCAAAACTATAGTAGAGCCTCCTACTAATCGTGTACATTTCTAGTTAAAATCACATCAATAATAAAATAGTATGCAGAATCATTCTTTTTCTTTGTTTAGTTTCCCTTTGTTTTGTTGAATCCATTGGGATTATTTTTCTTCTTTTGTCCATGAAGATAGCTTAGTGGTTTGATCGGAAAAGGATCCAGTAAAATAGAGCTTATATATTATACTACGCTAAATAAAGAATCAATAGGCTCCATGTTGGACAGATCCACAGGTCAACATGAGTTAGTAGAAGAGCTTTTTTTTTATTTTTTTTATTTTTATAATTCTAAAAGAAACTAGTAATGCAAATCTAGAAATACTCGATGAGCAAAAAAAATTTTGCAACTTTTCTCTTTTTTTTTTTTTCTCTTCTTTTATCTCATTTTTTTCAATATATTCATATCTTTTGTTTGTTTATTCTTTATTTTTATTTTTTGGTTTCTTTATCTAAATAGATCATGCTTAATTAAACTTTTTTAGTTTTATTCAATCTTTTAAAGCTTATAAAGTCTAAAATTTAAGAACTTAGTTTATTTGGAGTTTTAACTTTACAAAATTAATAAGTTGAATTGGATTTTCAAAATTGAAATATTGAGTAGAGTTGACGTAGGAAAGTGACACAAGACTACTTGTAGCTATAAACTCTATGTGGTAAGCCTGCGAGGGAAGGAGAAAGTATGGAAAGAAGGGACTCCATGGCTTAAGTCATGAAACTGAGCAAAAAGGAAAGCAAAGAGACTACCATAATAGATTTCCTCTTTGGCGTTGTCGGACGGTTGGGCGCTCCTCAGAAAAGTAGCACCCTCAAAGTCAAACAGGAATTAGTTGGATCAAGGCTTAGTTTGGTATTATTTTTTCTTCTCAAAATCAACTTCTGCTCGTAGCATAAGTTAATTTTAGTGTTTGATAAATTTATTCAAAAGTGCTTTTTGAAATTTTTTTTAACAATCTACAGCTAAAATCAGAAGTAGCCTAAAGACAATTTTAGCTTTTAAATTGTGCGGGAATTAACATAGTACAATTAATAAAACTTTCATAATACCCATAATATCCCTAATGAAATTTAAAATTTACAATCTTCTCAAATTAAAATTCAGGCTCGTAATATAATATAATATAATATAATATTATAACAAATAATATCAAAATTATATTAATAACTATAATAATATTATTTTATCATATAATATGATATTATAATAATATTATAATTATTTTAATAGTATGATATTATAATTATAATATGATATTGTAATTATAATATGATATTGTAATTAATATTTTATAATATATTATATATTCTTTTGTATTGATATAATTATATTTATTATATTAATAATATTACAATAATTATATTATATTATATTATATTGATATAATTATATTTATTATATTAATAATATAATACTAATTAATATAAATAAATATTAGTATAGTTTTATAATTTTTTTATTATTGTATACTATAGTGTATTACACACGTTATGGTTATATAATATATTAATTATAATATATTTGTTTAATATAGTATAATAATGATTATATAATATAATATAATATTTAATAATAATTTTATTGTATTATATTAAATATAATAATATATATACATTATATTGTAATTATATATATTATATTATTGTATAATATAATATAATCATTATTTTAATTATTTCAGTTATTATTTTAATAATATTATTACATTTTATATCATAATTATATAATATATTATATGATAATATTTTTTTGTATTATATTAAATATAATAATAAATATATATTATATTGTAATTATATATATTATATTATAGTATAATATAATATAGTCCTAATTTTTAACTATTCACAATAATTCAACATCATAATTTACCAAACGCTATTATACTGATTTTGAAACCAGCACATCTACTATAATTATAGTTTACCAAACACTTAGCTGCTTTTTGTAATAGCTGCTTCCTTTTTTAGTACAGTTAAAAATAATTTTTCTAAAATCTACAGCACTACCAAACTAGATCAAATCATTTTGCTCGGATGTAATCCATGTTAGCTTTATTTATAAATATAATTTACTACCATATTTATAAATTTTAAGAACCATCAAATCAAATTACCAAGAAGAATAGACGAAGAAAAAAATACATGAATCTATAGTGATGAAATTAAGAGTTTTACTTAATGAACATGCGCATATGTGCATTTTCGTGTTTCTTCTATATTATTCATTTCCCTAATAACGATTAGTTTATAGATAACAAAACTTTACATTCATTCTCGTTCATAATAATATAATCATTATAATAAT